AGCACGGTCCAATAAAATGGAGTGTATTGAAGTCGTCTTGCATTGATTAACCGTATTAAATTTAGTTCATAAAATAAAAAACAAAAAAAAATAAATGAAAGTTCAGCTGAAATCTAAAGGATTTTGAAAACGACCATGAATAATTAAAATCGCTGTGTAAATGAAATAATCTTTAGTGAATTGTCAATACCTTCTACGCCAGTGATAGTGAAATTGAAAATTAAAATGAGATCATTTATACTTTAATTATTGTTAAAGTTTGCCTTGTGCATTGGAAATGGCTCTTTCCATTCATTTGGTAATATGAAATGTCAGACTCGCACCTAGTTATTTTGCCTGTGTACTTAGTATTAAGAGGCAGATAATAAAATATCGGACGAAATTTTTGGCCGAAGAGAAAAATAAAGGGAATGAATTTTTGTCAGACTATTATAACGGACTAAAAGTGTACCATTTTAAAGGTTTGTATGTTATCAGCCAATTAGAAGAAATGAAAATCTATCTATCTATCTATCTATCTATCTATCTATCTATCTATCTATCTATCTATCTATCTATCTATCTATCTATCTATCTATCTNTACCATTTTAAAGGTTTGTATGTTATCAGCCAATTAGAAGAAATGAAAATCTATCTATCTATCTATCTATCTATCTACCTACCATACTTTAGCATCTCTCTTTCAATAGTGTATCAACTATCAATGACCAAATTGAAAAGCAACTCGGATATAAGTTTGCTGGCTGAAATTACACACATACACATACGAGAATGTGTTATCGCCGAAAAATGCGTCAGTGCTCCGACCAGACAAGCCACAATGGCGCAGTTATTCAAAGACAACACGAAACAGGAATTGCGCCGTAACCCGTTTACCGGATAGGTATCGATTACGTCCGAAAGGAATAGACTGTGTGTGCGAGAACAAGACCAGATATTAGTGATTTCAGGATATTTTAAATGGTGAGCGTGTGACTGATTATCCGCGGAAGATAATGGAGTTCTGCGTGAGAGCACCATAGAGCAAATCTAGGCCTTGATGTACCAAATCGCTTCTTTCTCAGGTACTAGAATACATTGTGTACTGCACGTGTTATTCATTATTATTGGTTATTTGAGCAATGAATGAACAATGCTGTTAAGTAAAACTGTGATCCGAATAACACTTATAAGACAGATATGATTAAGGTCCTTAAACGGATAGAACAATAGGAAAAAAACTTATAAAAGTCTGGAAACTAAAAGCTAAAAAAATTAAACATCCTTATTTATTAAAACACTCTCCGTGTGGTGTGTTTTGAATGATAGCAGTAAATTCCTGATCGAAATTCATATTAAGGCAAAAGGAATCGCGATTATCACGAAAAGGGTTCGTAAGTTAGTTGGCTACAAAATTTACACAGTTGTTAAGTTGTACACAGCAGTACTAGGGGCCCAGCAAAATAGCATAGTTATAATGTCATTGTTATTTTCTAACCTGTAAAGTAAGTTACGTTTTGTTGGTTCAATGATTTCCGATTAGTGAACATTTAAAGTCGACCCATCTTGAGAGATACATGACCGTGTAGAAAGAGATTTACATACCAGACAAAACGTTGGTCAGTGCCATTTGATATCATGCATCCCCGATCTCGAAAAATATGCACTCCGACTACGTCCTTATGATGAGGACTGTTTCACAGAAAACAGAAGTGAAGGTATCATCTATGGTGTGTACTGCATCATTTCAGCTTCCATGTGATGACAATAATTTGGGAACGGATCAGCTATCTCTCAGGTCACGAACAAACAATGACTGAAAATACCGACGAAAAGCTACCAATTCAGAAAGCAAAGTCTTCGATCCCCTTATTTTCCCGTTTGAGGATAGGTCGTTAGGAAAAAATAGGAATATGTTTCGGGAAAGAATCCGGAAATTATAAGGGAATAGAAAGAACCAGTGCTTTGCAGTAGGATTGCCGTTACTATTGGTTATCTGTTAAAAGTACATGACTAAAAAAGGGGATTTTTGTTAGCTCTGCTGATCACAGGTCAACTGATCTATAACGAAGCTGAAAAAGCAAACCGTAATTCACTCGGAAAAAGCGACGGGGCAAGGGAAATTTGAGAAATTCCGTTTTCATTCCAAAGCACACTGAAGCATCCGATGGGATACATTACATAGGGGGAGAATTTCATGGGATCGCCAAGCCATGGTTACTTACTGAATGCTCACTTGATGATGAAGAGCGAGAAATGGAGACAGGGAGAAAGAACCAGTAAAATGCATTTGACCAGTGCTCAAATATTGTTCAAACTGTGAGTGGGAACGGTTTGCGCTTAGCAACGGAGCACGAAAAACTGAAGGTGATCGATTAAGTTGCTATGAGACAAGTTATTCTCAATGAAGTTTTAGCATTTGTGTATGGCTGTTCACCTTAGTATGAGATATCTCGTTTTATTAGCAGACGGCCAAATTTCTTGTTCGACCATTTACATGGTTCCTAAAGATTCTCTGCAATTTCCATGCATACCAATCGAAATCCTGATGTTGATCAGCAAGTAACATGAAATCAATTCAAAGAAATCTATTATTCGAATCGAACATTTCGGTCATGAAATAAGAGATTGATTGATCGAAACAGAGATTTTTTTAAGGATTTTAAGGTTTACAATCTACTTGAAGAAAGGTACATCTGATGAACATTTGCGAAAAAATTCTTACGCTGATTTTGCGGCCTCTCAAACTTTGATCTTTCAAAGTTTGTAAAATAATATTTTGATCTCTGGACAGTAGCTGATCGATTATTTTTTCATCTTCACACGGGGTCTATGGTGTACCAAAAGTGTATTTCATGCAACAAGCTAAGTTAATTCGCGGAGAACAGCAGGGTTACTGATGATATAAGCGAAAATATCTTAGAACTGGAGCATGCTGAAATAGGAAAACCCAGTGCTTTGATTTCAAAGTAATTTTGTCCTCAGTGAGGATAAACTTGTCTAATGGAGAAGGAACCTAGGGCGCAATTCAAGTTCCCAGGTTTGAACACGGTATTGCGTGGTCTCTTTTGTTATGGTGTTTCCTAATGTGTTCGTATAACCTTAAACATAGACTTGTATTTCGCGCCAGCTATATTATGCAACCTGGAATCGTTTACGTAGTCATGGTATTTTTGAAAGAGCCAATTTCTATTGCTCTCTTTTACTTAGCTTGTGATCATTCCTAAATATTTAATTAGTTTTTGTCGTTGCGCTCCGCGGAGAATAATTACTATTTTGTACTGGGAATTTTGATTTCTGTTACAGTTTGTTTACTTTTCATTGAAACAATACTAAGTACGGTTAAATGTTTCACATGCAGACAAATGTGGATAGAATGTAAGATGTCTAAACTCACCTTAAACACTTCTTCTGGGTACCACTTGGGCTGACATAAAACGTCACACTCACCACAGGATTGGGAGAAAAGTTCAAAGAATACATTTGCACCAGGTTGAATCAACCATCGATCCACTTGCACTGGACCGGTTCTGTTGTAACTAAGGATAACCACAAACGAGACCGATCCTTTCATAGATGTCCATTGTCGCCCACAGACCTGGAACGATAGTCAAACACACGCACACACTGTTTTGCGTTGCAAGCGAGCATTTACACTGTGAAAGCAATCGCTGACATCGGCGTTTCACTATTTACTCGATTGACTTTCCGTTACCTTAGGAATATATATATATATATATATGTATATATTGCGAGTTAGTTTTATGCACGGTTCTATCATGTGTGACTGAAACTTCACTATTGACTACAAGTGCTGCAGTTGAGGTTATGGAGCCTGTCAACCTTCACTTGTTAGTTTGATGAAGGAGAAATTATGAAACATGAAGCGGTAGATGCAGATAAATTATTAGGCTGGTAAACGGTGTGCTGCACAGAGGTATTGCTGTTTAAATCCCATCGGATAGTGAGAGTAAGAAAATGGTTGCATGACAGCTTATTTGGCGTAGTTTTGTGTTTTGTTTTGTGGGAAAATGAAAATGCATAAAACAATCATAAATACCATAAAACAAATTGATATCTTCGGATGTCAACATTTTCTCTTGTTCTGATACAATGTAATAAAATTACTATATTTCAAATAAAACAAATGAACAAAGCCTTTTTATGCCAATACAGAATCTCTTTGTTTGTTAAGCCTCCATCGGAACTAGAATATTTTCCTAGCTGGTCGTTACAATAAGGTAAACAGAATATTTTCTGAGATTGCACACATAAAGCAATATTTCACTTTAGCAGGCTCAAATTACACTAAAATCCATGCAATGCACGGTATAAACCAGTCACGTGACTCAAATTCTGCTCTAATTAACTTAAATTGCAGGACTATCGACAAATGATGAAACAAATGCTAGCTGTTTATTCGTTGAATAACCTCGAGAGAGATTGCACTTCAGATCAGACAAGCACGATGGCTTCCGAAATAGCAGTAAAAGGGCAATAAAAATTGATGATTGTTCAAAATACTCCACTTTCGACAAATATTTCACTGGTAACGTGAAGAACAATTCAGAGCCTTGATTAGGGAAGAGAATGGCGAATAAGAATTTGAGAGTATAGAGTTTCTTGGGTGTGCTTCCTCGGAGCATCTAACGGGTTTCAGACGAGAGACCGAACAAGCGGGTCGAGTTTTGTTGAGCATGCTACTCGGGATGAGTCAAACATGTCTGCGTTTTTGAATCTTGCAATACCAGGCGACTCAGATACACAAATAAAATATCCTGAATGTATCACTAGTCGTTCTCTTAGTCTTTTTTGACTGGCTCATAAAGGCAGGAAAGCATTATGTGAAGCTTATTAGGGTTATGGCACAAACATTCATACGCATTTAAAATAAAACAGATAAAAGGTTAACAACAGCTCTATCAGATGCCTACAGCTGTTTGAGTATGTGCCTCCTTCAGTCATTTATTTAACAGTCTTCAAAGATCCGCTTACACCACACATGAATCGTGTTTTTACTTCANTCCATTGCTGCACGCAGTTGATGTAAGGCATTGAGCTCTGCGTTTTGTGACTGTTTGGGCAACGGTAATGCAGTCTGGCGTAAACTGATTTGTCCAACTTGGGGTGTGCATAATGTAGCGACTGAATCCAAGGTCGCACTGGCCAAGGGTTGCAACAGGAACAGAGGAGATACGGATGGCTCCAAGGGAACTGGCCAACTGCATGGTTTTGTTGACATACCCAAAAGCCCTGTGGGTGGTGCCGCCGGTGAGAAAAATGTTTGATTCAAATTCACATGAGGAAACATCTGTTGTTCTGCCGGACAAACAGGTTGACCGCTGCTGACCAACAGCTGTTGTATAAGTGTGGTTGCGAAACTGATCGGAAGATTTGGTAGCACATTTTTATTTAGTGGCGCTGTTCCCGGGGTTGTTCCATTCGGAAATCCGAATGTCAGATTCATCAAGGATGATTTGAAAAGAGAATTCGCATGATTTGTTTGTGAGCTTTGCAGATTGACCGGGGTAAAAGGTGTATGAGTGGAAAAATTTGTATGTTCATTCGTCGTCAACGGACGCGGTATCGGTTGTGAATTGATGATCAAATTTTCATTTGGTGTGTGCACAACCTGGGCATACAACCTGGGGTCAGTCCCAGTGAATGGTGCTCCTGAGGCTGGCTGAAACAATGGGGTGATGATGGTGTTATTTGTTGGCGTGGGATGCTTCAATGACATAAGCACGGTTTCACAATGAACGTATGACAACGGAACCGTAGAATTGCTCAATCCCCTCATAGTTCCGTTCTCAGTTAATCCAAAGGCATCCAGTAATACATTGGTAGTAGATGGAAGTAACGATCCGGTAGCCGGTGGGTGAAGACGATTCATAGTGGCTAAGGACCAGAGATCAGCAGTCATGCCAGTTCGTGAATAATTGACCTTGATTAGTTCTCTCGTGAGCCGACAGGCGAGCTCCTTGAATTTGGGGTCCCAATGAGTGGACTTCATGCTGCGGTAAAGCAGGAGAAATAATCGATTGGTAAGTTGATCGATGAGACCAACATTGGTGATGTAGAAAGTTCTCCAAGAGAAATTCATTTTATCACAGAATTGTTTTCTCTTTCTTAGCTGGCAAATGCTCAGGGATTTTATCAAATGTTACTATTGTATTTTATGGTACGTTAAACGATTTTCTGTTGATTTTGTCGTCTTCATAATGTAAATTCACTACAGTTATGTCATACAATTAGTGATTTCAGGGGGTGGTGGGTGAAAACCCTCAATTTCGAATGAGTAAAATGAAAATGAAGTAAAATGAAGCATTCAAGTACGGAGGGGGGACTTACGTCTCATAGTAGTCCACAGTGATCATGGTTTGCTCACTTTGTCGGGTCTGATGCTGCTGCTTCTCGGAGGTTGTTTGCATCCAGTACGAACTTGACCTTGACCAGACGTGACAGTTGCAAAGTACGAGCTGCTTTTTTGCTCTCAATCTCCGTCTGACGATTAAACTCTGTCTACAGGCCACTGTGCTGTGCAGCTTTCGAGCGCCAGGCGCGGGTGTACGCTATCCATATGTGCGTGTAGGTAGGTCCGTAAGTACAGTTTCGTTCTCTCTCTCTCGCAGTCTAAACACGGACCCATGTGGGCGGTTTTGTGCACTCACTCTGCATCGTCCAGTCGCCCNCGCCCACCACATTCGCGCGCGTGTGTATGTACACCTAAGAGAGACAGTCTCGTTGGACTGTATCCAATAAGTTCAGGGGCTCGAAATAAGGCCATCGAGCTTGGAGCACACGTGCTACTAACAGCAGTGGAAACTCCACCACATTTCGCGCATTGAGATGAAATCTCATTCCAGAACTCACCCAACTTATTGATTATTGAAGAGGGCAGAGAGAGAGAGAGAGTCAAAACTGACTGATTGGTGTCCAGTGTGATTCTGGGTTTGATGACACACTCGCGAAATTTCAAATCTCTTTTCATGTCGGTTGGATCGAAGAGCACCGCAAATCACGTGAGTTTGAAACTATTAGTCAAATCTAACGAACACGCTGGTGTGTAGGTGAGCTGTTTTTCGATTAGTCGAATGGAGATACTTTGCTAATCAGATGATTTTAAGCTCCTCATGAATCAGTGTTGAACAAGGACGGTAATGGAATCAGTGATACTTAACATTGTGTTGGCATTTACAATAAGCACAAAAGATTTGGTGGGAGGGGGGGGGGGGTTGTACTGAAAATTGAAAATCTGTGCTCGTTTCCGTGACATTCAGACTATCCGTGTTGGCAATATCAGAAGACAAAAATTTGTTAGTAGTGCGCGTTATTCTCACCCTCGTGCAGTCTGGTATCAACGTTTCCCTTCGGTTTGCGTATAAGCCAAATAGATATGATTGGGATGCTGTTCCTTCAGTGATGCACTTTATATGAAAATATTCAGATGACTTCCAAAAAATGTTTGTTGTGTTTTCCTTGGTTATTCGTCCGCTTCGGATTTCGTTCCACAATTAGGGCTTCTCCGAAGGTTACAATCATTCGGTTGTTTCACCAGTTTATTGCTGTGGTTGAAAGACTATTTTACAGAAAGAATTCAAAGAACGAAAAAACGGCATTATTTCAAAACTTTTAGTGGATAATTCTGAAGTACTACAGGGTGCTGTGCTTTCTCCATACTTACTCTCAGCATTTATCAGTGACGTATCGTCCATCCCACGAGCGAAGACATTTAAAAATGGTGATAATGTGGTGTTATTTCAAGCCATCTCAAACCAATCTAACATGAACTTATTTTCTGACAGTTTGGTAGGAGTGTAAAAATTCTCGAACCAGACGGGTCTCCAGAGGAATGCTTCGATTGCGTTTTTAGCCTTCCTCGATTTGATTATCCCTTGGAACCCTCAGTCATCGATTCCGTACCCATCACCAGAATACATGGCACAATTTACCCGGGAGTCCCCATGAAGAGAAACCTACGGTGGTCCTCTCATGTGCTAGCCTGGGTATGGTAGACTGCGTCGTCTATCCTTCCAGATACACCAGCTAAGACAATACAGATTGAAGCATATAACTACATATTCTTTTACTTATCAAGGCATCTCACCTGATAGACTTCATTGTATACATATATATAAAACAGCTCATTACCGCATAGAAATGTCAGGCACATTTCAATTGATAGCATGCTTACACTGGTCTATTATGGAAAATCTGACCCCGAACATCCATGTTCCTGTCGTCAAAGTGAACTCGTGGCTCTCCACCTGGGTAACAGTCATACCTCACGTGTTTGACAGTAATATAATAATAATTATAATATAATATGGCAGTAATATAGTGTTGATCAGCAATAACATCATACAAGGATTTTCACGAGCTATTTGTATGTTGAATGCAATGCATTTTTCCTTGGAACCAGCTCGGCCTAATCGAAGTTCTTCGCTCTGGAGTCATTGTGAATGATGATTCTGATGCCTGAACTACCGTCATCTTTGCACATTCTTTTTGTCACTTTTACTGACCACGTTGTGAATGTTCCAGCTTGACATTGCTCATTTTGCTTGTGTACGTGCAGCCTGATTGTCGCAAAAGATGTGTTTTAACCGCTTAATTTATTTGTTCCTATAGAATATATTGATCACTAACTTATTTTTAACCTCAACTGAACTGGAAAGTCTGATCTACTAGTTACTCGACCACCAGACAACTATCCGTTAAAGTAGGTAACAGACAATCAACACGGTCGTGCATTGTGGTTGAGCTCATAAACCTATTGCTAGTCAGGACAGACGAATGTTAGATAGTTCAAAGTCACTACTTGGTACCCACTGTTTGCAAGGTCACTGGAAAAATCCTCTATTACTGTGAGTTCTTCGTTACGTTTTTACCGACACACACTATTATATCTCATTTGTGTACAAGTTTGTGGCCAGTGAAGAAGTTAGAAGATACAATTTATACGATAAAATTATACTAATAGTTGAATTAGGTGGGTTGGAAGTTACATCAACTGGACTTCGGAATGGGATGGTACGATGTGCATCAACGCTAAAAGTTTGATCTCCATGTTCTTGATTGTTTGGTGTCACATTGGTAAGATCTGTCTAAGTGCAAGATAACCCTCAACCACTGAGGTCTGTCTCGCTTCGAGGTGCTCTTTTGCGAAAGGAACATTTTACCAGATGATTTACAAGGAAATCAAACAGATGACTGTAGTTTGAAATGCCATAGGAAAACGTTTCTTCTCCTCGCAGTTCTAAACACGATAATATCTTCATCCACATAACTTACCTTATTAGATTATGGATTGTGTACCGGAACATCAAACCAGTGTATCTGAGAAGACAACTCGTATTTGGTCACGATCACGTGTCAGGTTTATGCGCATGACGGGATGTTTCGTTCTATGTATGGTTCCTCCGTCCACAATGGGCCATTATACGTCTGTAATCAAAAGGTAACTCATGTCGCTACGGGAACTCGTTTGTACGTGTTATCCACTTGATCTCTTGTGTTGTACGCACTGCAGCATTGTATACGTGATGTTCGGCCGTTGTTTTACTCAATAGGAATTTCACTAGAGAAGCTCAAATCACTCGTTTGCTGATCGGCACGTAATGAAAAGCTACATCTTGCAATCGAGGATCATTTGCATATGCATGTTCAGTGAAATAAACCTTCCATACCTTATAAACAAATCGATTAGGGGGATAAATCGCAAGTCCATATCAACAGGTCACTTTGATCTATCATCTTAAGAAAAGGCAACTAACCAGGGCACATATATCTGTTTTAAATTCACTGGATATGTATAAGGTGTAAAATTACAAAAACATCTGTCGTTGGTTTACAGGTTTTCTGCTCGCTTTCTTTTGTCATTCGATAATGAAGTCTTTTGAGACCACATTTATAGGACTAGAGGATCCCACAAAATCTGCCTTTTAACTTTCCAACACAATACCTGATGATGTTTTGTTCTATACTCGAGCCTAATCTGCAACCGCTGCAGGCATCAATTTGACTTTATTTATATGCAAAATGTGTGTGACAGGCATGCAAACCAGTAAAGTCAGCTTTTGTTGAGATAAAAAGTAAATCACTGGTGTAACAAGCAAAAAATTGGATAACCAAAATTCGTTTGAGCTAAACTGCATAAAAGACGACAGTCACAAAGTTCACCTCGAATAATGCGTTGTATACATACAAAGTCTCATCCATAAGCGTAATATGGCACAAAGTACGTGACATTTTTCGTTACAAATAAATGTTCGAACGAGTTCGCTCCCCCACAAACACCGTTAAAGTTCAGCGCAGACTGCTGAAGCATTCAAAATGCGCGGGCTAATCCTTCCCGCTTGTTTAATAAACAGTAGCTGGGGATTTTTGCAGCAGCACTGACCAATATCTGCTTCCAGTGTACATATTAATAGAGTTAGTTTGAGTTTTCACTCTACAGCAAAATTCTCGCATGGTGCGCGCATATCAGCTAATAAGCATTTGATAGCTAAGGACAAAAACTATTTCAATCAGCAATTTTGGAGGTTAGATTAGCCATTCCTCACCGAAACGAACTTCGAAATCCATGGCGAAATATGACGTTTTCGAAAATCAGTGGTACCTTTGTACCGGAGGTACATTGCTGTATTGATCCTTATTCAATTAGAAGCCCACAATTGCATCAACTTCAACCGTTTGAGCTCCTTTTGCTGTTTAACACACTGAGAGAAAACTGAAATCAGAGCTTCTTTTTTTCGCAGAATCGATGGCTATTTCGAAGCCAAAAATTAAGTGATAATCTCCAGAGCTAGTTATTGTGAATTTCTCTCTGAAGTTCTGGAGAATATTTGTTCAATTCACTCATAATTTTTTGCTTCCTTCAAGCACATTTAATTCATCTCTTTGTCTTAAACAGTTCATATGATTTGGTTGACAGTTGGTTCATCTATTTCTGAATACAGAACCCATCGATGGTTTCAGTGCCAATGTATATGGACTTTGGTTTCATTTACTTTTCATACATCCTGTTACAGGCTATTCGAACCAAGAAACCTGTCTGAACTGAGTGCTATTGGAAACTCAGTTTTAATAATAGGATGATTGGTTGTATTAATACCACTCGTTTTCTACCTGTGTTGTGTCACATTGTGAGTTATCGATTCCGCTTCGGTTTATTTCGCAGGTTTGCTGACTCGACCTTATGACATGGTGTTTGTATATGATATGTGCTGTTTTAGTAATTTTTTTCAGTGTTCAGTAATGATCAATCTTTTGAACTTCTGCGTTCCGTGTAATAAGAAAGCCATAACCGTTTATGTGGAAAGCAAACTGGAGTACACTTTCGGGATCAGTGTGCATTTCACTCATGTACGCTGTGAACCAATAAGAGTCATGGTTATTCAACCGCGAACTATAATTTTTCTTGAAATAT